ACATAGAGTCCCCAACCACAATTGAGCAAGCCAAAGGGGCCCACTGCCAATGGGAGTGCACCATTCTTTAATTGAGATTGAAGGAAAGTCATGCCTCTATAAAATGTTGCTAAAAAGAACGAACATAGATTCAAAGACCTCCTACACACCAACTTATGCGCTATGGGCAGATAACTCATGGAAGGCTTCAGGTTGGGGACACAAAAAACATATTTACAAAGTCAGACCTGAATGATGGCCACACGCTCAACATGAGAGGGTTCAGAACTAGAAGCAGTATAAAGTCCTTGTATGCCTGAATAGGACTCGGTGAGTTTTTTGTCAAACTTTGGGACAACACCGGCAATCAAAATGCCAGGAAAAATGGTGTCGCCCAAAGGTACAAGGTTTACTAGGGCTCCAACATCCCTTAGTATAACAGATATTGGGCCAAGGGGGAAGACAAAAGTATTGTACTCTGAATTCCAAAAACTCAGAGAAATAGAAAAAAGCACTGGGTTATAAATTGGGGTTTGGAGAGTAATTTCTAATAAATCTGAAATTTTACCACGATCAAAAATAGCTTTGATGGGACCATGATTCACCATACGTGCATGCCATCTACGAACACTAGCATCTGAAATTTTAGCATGATCAAAAATAGTTTTGGTGGGACCATGATTCACCATACGTGCATGTCATCTAAGAAAACTAGCATCAGTTTTGGGCTAAGTACGAATACTTTTGTCGCAGATTGGCTTCAATGGCAAAGAGTTCAGAAAGGGCGGTTTTCCATACAAAGGAACAACTGACCCACCGCCGCCTGCCCAATCAATTCAACATCATTAAACGATGGACCCAGGTAGAATTCATTGTTGTCAGGGCGAGCTTGTGAAAGAGATTTGAGTTTACATAAGGCCTGGTGAGGAGGTTTTGGAAATCCTCGAAACTGAGGGAGTTATCGGAGGAGTTTGTGAAGTCGCCATTTGCAATAAAAAATAGCTGTTGTGGATAGTCCTTGAGAAACGTAGCAAAGAAGCAAGATGATGAACAGCGATCTTTATAGAGGAGCACGATGTAAAGAGGTTACCATCAAACGTAATGGCGCGATGAAATGGCGTGTCTTTTGGGTTATATGGATATAACGTTACACTTTTCAGGTTGAAGAAGGGTTACCACCAAACGGAAATAATGATTGAAATTCTTAGGAATTTCAAGTATTGTAGGAAAATGTAAAGGAAGAATATGGTAAAAATTAATAATTGATATTAATTCTACCATATTAGAGGGTAATTGTTGACATACAAAAATGAGGCCCAACTAAATGAGGCCCAATGATTAAATGAGTCCCAATTATTAAGTCAAACCCAATTATGTGGTGCAAGAAATGGAGCCCAGTTAGGGAAATTGAGGAATGGGCCCAAATAAGATCATAGTAAAATATAGTGACAGCCCTTGCGCAGATGACTATCATCGCCCAAGCTTGCAGACCGCCCAGGATCTGAGCGAATGAAGTGCCCCAGTGTCGTTAAAATATAATGATAGCCCACGAGCGGAGAACTATCGTCGCCCAAACTTGCAGAACGCCCGGACCTGAGCAAATAAAGTCTCTCATTGTCGCTCAGAACGATGGTCTCACTCTCGCCCAAGCCTTCGAGACATCCAAGGTCTGGATGAATATGGCATTTTGTTCAGTTATTGAAGCAATTATTGAGCAACCTTATCACATCCCATGATCTAGAATCTCGGTTACAAGCTGTTAAACAACAAGAGCACTAACAACAGTTGCTAAAGGCAGTTCCATGACAAGTCAGCCATCACGAAGAAAGTGGGTAGTTATAGAGCGCCAAGAGGTTTCCAAGCAGTTTTACAAGAAGAAATCGGCAAAGGAGTATAAAAAGGAAAAGAAGACATAGAAGAAAAGGACTCTGAATCAAACACTCTCAACCGAGAATATGTAATTTCAATTCATTTATTTTATATTTGCAAATTTTCAATTTACTTCGTATGCTTGTACCCCTTGGAGGCGTTTTGCTTCTTTTCAATTGTAATCTTCATAAATAAAGCACCATTTGTTGGGACTTTGTCTCAAGAGATTTGTTCCTTACACAATCGTCTGAACCTTTCTTTTAATTGTTAACAATAATCCGCTTGAAACAAATGCTAAGTTATAAAAATTAAGAGTAGCATTTAAGGAATATGGATACTACAATTTCTCGTAATTCTTTTCCTATCAATATCTGAATTGCAGGTTTCTAGCGTAACTTAATTACTAACTAGGCAAATGGACCAATGAAGGTGATGGGCGGGTATAAGACAAGTCGGCAATTTTCACCCCGTCCTGTTGAGTATTTTTTTCACCTTCTCCCATCCTCATACACTGTTAAAGCATGATGGATCGGGCAGGTCCTTGCCTCATTTATCATCCTATTTATTTATTTATTTCATTTTTTGCTTTTCTTTTCTTATTTCTTTAGTTAGTAAGCCCTTGTTTGATTCACATTATTACCAAAACACATTTTTTTTCTTTTTTATTCTTAATAACACGTTGTTCAATAAAATAATATTATAAGCAAATTCAAAATTTTTTCTTATTTTTTAACCACACATTATTCGTCAAAAAACTATTCCAAAATGCATTTTGGCTCAAAAAAAGGGGCTCAGACAGGCTTTAAATATTATTACTTTTTTTTCAAATTTGTTAAGAACAATTCATGTTCTCTTTAAAAAGGATGATAAACCTTTTATTTTTGTTTTATAAAAAATTTAATTTGAAATTAATTTGAAAGGGGGCAAGAACTATATTTCCCGTACATGCTTCGGAGCAATGACTCCCTCCCCCATCCCCGCCCCATTTACCAGGTAATCCCCGCCCCATTCGGGGCAGAACGTCGTGGATATCGAATTGAACGAATTGTTTTGTCATTCCTGAGTGGTTAAGAAAGATGATCATGTGTAGGTTATTGTAAGTTGAACAATGAATTGGGGCAACACATTTGGACTCAAAACATAATAAAATTTCCATTGGAACAGCAGATCTGATGTTAAATTTCATCCTGGCAGAAGCAGCAGGACCATCAAAAGCATCAGACAAGATCACACTATTCAAATGCTTTGGAAACTGATAACAACAATTGACAAATTTGAAACTTAATACTGACTTATTGTAGAAGTTTAACCAGTTTTTCAAAGCTCGTGAAGGAAGAGCCACCAGGAGAAGTTGCCTCTTCTGCTTTTTTCTTCCACTCCATAGCTTTCTCTTTCATTTTCTTCCCTTTCTCACCATCCATAAGTTCTTTCACAAGCTCCTCCACCTCGTCTCGCTTCACATTATTGTCTATTTCCATTCCCGTACCCCATTCCACACAACAGTACCTGCAATTTGTTTGTTGCTCAGCAAAGAAAGGCCAGCAGATCACAGGCACTCCAGCTACTATACTTTCTAAAGTTGAATTCCACCCGCTGTGTGTCAAGAACCCTCCGATTGCTGGGTGTTTCAGAACTTCTTCTTGCGGGCACCAGCTAATCAACATGCTTCTATCTTCCGTCTCCGTCACAAATTCTGGTGGCAACATTGATGAATCACCGGCAACTAAATCAGGCCTGATTATCCACAAAAATGACTTGTTACTATTGGCAAGTCCCCATGCAAATTCAGTTAGCTGCTGCGCTGTTACCACAGTGATGCTCCCAAAATTCACATATACTACTGAATTGGGTTCTTTTTTGTCCAGCCATTTAATACATTCTAAGTCTTCCTTCCACAGACTTGAGCTGGTCAATGTGTGCTTTTCATTCTGAATGTGATTCATCATCAGTTGCAGAGGACCAACTGAGTAAATGACCGGGTTTATAGATGAGAGTGCATCCAAAACATCGTTCTCTAAGGCATCGAAAGTGTTCAATATTATTGCTCTGGCTTTGGAAACGGCCTCAATTTCTTGTAACACGAAATTAAGCATGAAGTCATTTGAATCTGTTGCTCTAAGAAAGGAAGGAAGATCCCTCAATCTGATATCCTTCATTCCTGGAATCCAATCAATGGTTGTTTCCAAATAACCATTCATTACCTGGCTCATTTCTGCATATTAATTAACGTACAACATTCCAAGAGATATAGAGTCAAACTAAATATATAAATATATAAAGAATTGAAGTTAAAAACCGACAAAAAAATTTTTTGAATTGTATTAATGAGATGAATATGGAATAGTTTGTACAGTACCTTTCAAAGGAGTGTAGCCTCTTTCGATAAGATGGGGATACTGCGTGTAACCCAAGAAACCACAAGCACTCGTAGTCCAGAACAGCACTTCCGGAAGTCCAAATTGTTCAGCCGCCTTGAGAGTGAAGCTCATGACGCCATCAGACACTATGCAGGTCACGGGAGGCATCTCCGGTGCAGCGTTGTTGAGCTTCGCCAGCAGGCTGCAGAAAGGGGCCAAGCAAGTTTTAGTTGTAGATTCACATAGTGATGGGATATCTTGAGTGGCGTCGGCATCAGATGGCGGGAGGCCATCGGGAATAGTCTCAAATCTGAATTCCGGCAGCCCGTCAAGGGCGGTGGGGCCACGGGACTTGAGCAAGCGTTTGTGATTGAACTCTGTGTTAACAAAGGTTATGTAGAATCCTTGGTGGTGAAGAAGCTTGGCGAGTTTGAGCATAGGGTTTATGTGACCTTGTGCTGGATATGGTATGCATACAGCATGGGGCTTATCATTTCCTGCAATAGAACCCATCCCTCCCTCCCTCCCTCTCTCTCTCTCTCTCAGAGACACGCACAGAGGGAGTTTGAGTTGAAAGAAAAGGGGCAATGACCTTTAAGAGAGATGCTACGTTACTAGGCCACATGGACCCTGGCCAAGGGCCTGCCCTTTAAATAACAAAAATGTGAAGTGGTGCTAGAATTATGTTACTCGTACATGAAAATAGATGTAAAGAATTATATAAAAAGACGTGTATGAAAAGTTGATTATGCATTAAAAATTTGAATCTCGTCTGCACGTATTAAAAAAATAAATTTAAACGATATAATTTAATTTTATCAAAATGATTTAACAATATCACTTACCTTCTTTCTACGTCTGGCATGTCTTGATCGGCCCGTTCATAACTTCGTGTCTCTTCTGCATCAATTACTATGGAATATATTAAAGAAAATTATCCCATTGTCAAACTTTCACATGCTTCACTAGAGGACTTCTAATACTTTATTGGACAATAATTATGGCGAAATCAAGATCAGATCATAGTGATAACTATTATATCATATTATAATCTTATAATAATTTAAGCTTCTTTACTTTGGAAAACCAAGTTTGAGTTGTGATATGTTATGTTTTGTTTCGTATTAAAGATTGTTTCACAAAGTTTTTAATAAAAGTTTTAGCAAATTTTGATAAACACGCCAGTTTATACTTAATGCATATGACTTCGTGGGATATTTTTCAACAACATTTGGATAAGTTATGTTGTATCTCCACGCCAAATGACATATCATGCTCAAGCGGTCGCGTTCTTATTGTTAACTCTGGATATTTAGGAGTTCATGGAGAATGGGTAAAAAAAAACCTTATCGGGAGATGAAAACGCAAGTCTCCCGATACAACTACTATAAATAGAGGTGAGTCCTATCCGATAAGGAGTTACACCCTTAACTTGTACAATCAAATGCATAGTTGTTTTCATACTTTATACTCGGTTTTCTCCTCCTATTAATTCCTACACCAGAGTATCCGCATGGGAGATGAGCCCCATCACTTCTTGCAGGTTTTGAGCCGTTGGAACCGACGTTAGTGGAAAGGAGAGACCGTGTGAACATAATCATAATTATATTTTTAAATATAAAAATAAAAACCTATTGTTTTCGGGTTTGCATGAGTCCACGTGCAACGAATCAAATTGTTCAAATTTTAACAGAAAAACTTTGATGTGAATATAATATCAAACATTATTTCCATAAGACTATTGATATGATATATGAAAAGCTTTCCAATTGATTTATGTCTCGATACACTTCCAAGAATTTCTTTTATATATCCAAGAAACTACATAGTTGAAATGGCTATTGTTTATTCTTTTCCTTTAATTTAATTTATTTTTCATACTCATTTTTAAATATACGTTCATACAATAAAATTTTTTATATATAAAACTAAATTTTTTTCTTATTCTCTAACCTCACGTTCTTAAAAAAATACTATTTAAAACATAGTTTTTAAAATTAAAGGCCACCAAACATGGGCGTAATGGCGTGAGTGAGGTGACATTTTTTAAACATGTAGATGCCACATGGACTTTCAACGAAGCTAGGTAGTAACTGTTGAGTTTTTTGATACCCAGTAAATCTCGAACGATAATGTAAACGTTAGGGCCCTATTTGTTTCTGATTCTCAATAATTTACCTCGTCTCGCATTCATTTTACATTTAGAGCCTGTTTGGTACAGATTCTCATTTTCTACAGTAAATCAATTCTCATTTTCAACCACACATTCTTCAATAAAATAATATTTTTCATCACATCAATACTTTTTCTTCTTTTTCAACCACACATTTCCCATCATATCACTATTCAAAATCAATTCTTCCCCCAAAAATCCCTACCAAACAGGCTCTAGATTAAATTGTTACTAACAACCAAGTCCAAGTGCTCAACCCGAAAACAATGTGGGCCGTTGGAAGTGATTTAAATAATTAATGTTTCTTATGACACATATATATTATCTCTTGGATGACTTTAAATCTTGACTCATTAACATCTTTTATTGGTCCAACGAAAGCCTAACCTATCATATATATATATATGGTGTCTTTGCCCTAGCCGCTTTGTAGGTGATTTGTGTTGTGAAAGAGAAATGCGTGATTGCAAAATTGGAGAGAAAAATGGTTGCTTTGAGTTTTAAAAACTGACACTTGTTTCCTTCAATTTTTTTGTCTATTTCTCGTGTTTCTTCCATTGTTTTTCTCGTGTCATTGTGGCTTACAAATCATTATCTTTTCATTTGTGGGTGAAATTGAGGAGCAACTGAGACGAATATATTGGTTGTAGGTTGAAGTCGTTCCGATTGGTTGTTTGGTAAAAAAAAGGTAACGTGAAATTGAGCATGAAAAATACCGTTTTGACGATCCTTGGAGCAAGCTTTCGCGACAATTGGTATCAGAGTTTCAATGTGGTAGATTTGGCTCGAAAATTGGCCAAAAAAAGACCCGAAAATTGGCTAAAACGAAGTAAAAAAACATATCGTAAAACTGTCCAGAAAACAGCCTAAAATCTAGGGTTGTTTTTTGTGATTTCCGACCGATCCAGAAGGAATTTGGTGAAACGGAGGCCACCGACGTGACGTGCAAGTGGAGGCGCTTCTAGGTGGCCAGCATGTGAGATCATTGACAGTGCGAGGCGGAGGCGCGTGACAACCACATGTGTGAGGGCGCGTGCGGCTTCTTCCGACGGAGGTCTCTTTAGGCAATTTATTCCTGACATTTTTCTTGACATTTTGGTGTTGTTAGTTTTCTGTTTTAGGTTATATAGCAAAGTCTGGACGATTGTGTTTTTCGCGTGTTCGGGACTTGAATGGTTGATTGATTCATGCGATTGTTGGAGATTTTAGGACGAATAGTGGTGGTCCTAAAGTGATAAATTCGCATCTCTTGGTATTTACGGATTAAGATTGGTCCGCTATGATATGTTGGCTTATCTCAATTTAAATTTTAGTATTAATGCATCATCATGTGGGGCGAAATTATGATTGATGTTACCGTGTGTGGTAACACTGCTTGTACTAGAAATTTAGGAATTATTTGCCATATTTGAAATGTTGAATTTTGATCGCAAGTTGATAATTGCTTTTGTGCTTTAACTGTTGTTTAGTCACTATATGAGACTACTTTGCAAGAGAATTTGAAATTTTGTTGACATAAATTCTTGTTGCATTGATTATTCTATTAGAACACTTAGACTTGACCCATTGGAACATTTCTTTGATACCAAGATCTTGAGTCTAATAAAAACACTGTGAATTTAGAATAGTATATATTGCGGCCTTATGATTAGTTTGTATTACCTATTTGTACATTTTGATTGTTCTGTTTTTCTCAAAATGTTTCGAAATTGGCATTTTTAATGGGAAATGGATTTTTCAATTTGGGGATTTTGGTTCAACAAAAGGTTTCAAAAGCCATAAATGATAAATTTCCAGTAAATTTGACAGAAACACAAAAGAAAGAATGTGATGAACTTACTTATACTTCAATTATTTTACACATATCTGACACTATTTTGAGAAAAATTGGAAAACTTAATTCTACAAAAGAAATTTGATAAAAGTTGGAAGACTTATATTTGTGTAAGTCCACTTCTAATAAGTTGTACTTGAAAGATTTTTCAGTTTTAAAATGGATCTTTCAAAAGATCTTGATGACAATTGGTTATTTTCAACAAACTTGTTCAAAATATTGTTAACTGTGATGAAAGATGTCTGAAATGTATAAGGCTATTATTTTATTTAATTATATGCCTAATTCATATAGAAGGATTAAGAATGCAATTAAGTATGGTAGGGATACCTTAACACTCAAAATTGTCATAGATTCTCTTATGAGTAAAGAAATGGGGATTAAGACTGAGAAAGATGATACGATGAGTGGTGAGTTACATATAATGAGGAGTAGAATGAAGTTTAAGCAAATGAATTTGGATAGATCTCAAGACGGTAATGATTCGAGTTGCGACTCAAGTGATAATAGTGGTAAGAAAAAGGGCAAGGGTTGGAACAAGTCTGGTGGTAAGCGATGTTACGACTGTGGTAAATTTGGGCACTTTGTAAAGGATTGTCTCAGGAAGAAGGATAAGAAAAAGGGTAAGATGAGAGACGATGCGAATGTGGTTATAGGGTCAAGTGATGATCTTAGTGAATTTATTGAGAGTAAACCTAGTTACTACATGTGCATCCATGTGTAATCATTTCTACATGTATGTGATTGCTTAATTATATTGCATGGTTATATATTTATTTCAATATGTTTGATATGTGCATTTCTATAAATTTTGAGAGCAATTTAATTACTTGGTGTAATTATTTACATACATTAGAGGTTAAGATGCATTAGCAGTGTGTTGTATGTTTATTGGTGAAATTGAGTATAGATGTACAGGGGTACATTAGTGGTTTATACCGGGGATATGGAGTGTGACATTTGGATCACAAGTGGAAATGTGATTAAGTGTTGAAATCATTTATATGTGAAGAGACCTTGATCAGGTGGAGAGTAAGAGAGGCACTTCTATCACTTCTGTTGGGTAGAGACCCATTATCCATTTAGGTTGGGAGAAGTGATATGTTGATAGAGGATTATCCCAAGGACTTAGGATCTATAGAGATCTACCAATTAAATATGAGTTGAGTGATCAGTCTACTGAGCATGGTGAACGATGAGGTGAGATATGTGCACTCGAGGTGTGGGCAACACGAAATGGGATATGAGAAGTATGATGAGATCTTTTCGTAGAGTCATTTATGTATTTGTTGCATAAGTATTGGCCGCTTGATTAATTAACTGTTGTTCTGTGTGAACATTTCTATTTTGAAAAAATTTGTGTTATCCTATATAATATCATCGCATGTTTATTTGCTCTAGATTGATTATTGTAATAATATGTCTCTATTTGGGTATTTGTTTGTGACATTAGCCCCAGTGAGTACATGGAGCAGATATGGTATGTATTTGGGTCCGAAACACGAGATAAGGTCTATAATTGCGTTGATTATGCAAGCATTAACTTTGTATTTTGATTGCCTATAGATTGATTGGGTATCAAGGTGGAGATTTGTTAGGTTTTGATACCCAATAAATCTCGGGTGATAATGTAAACGTTTGATTAAATTGTTACCGACAACCAAGCTTAAAGACTCAACCCGAAAATAACGTGGACCGTTGGAAGTAACTTAAACAATTAATGTTGATCATGGCCCATATATATTATCTCTTGGATGGCTTTGAATATTGGCCCATTTAACCTCTTTTATAGGTACAACTACAGCCTAACCTAACTTGTATATATGGTGTCTTTGCCCTAGCCGCTTTGTGGGTGATTTTTTTTGTGAAAGGAGAAAAGCGTGACTATAGAATTGGAGAGAAAAACAGTTGCTTTGAGTTCCAAAAACTGATACTTGCTTCCTTCATTTTTTTGGTCTCTATCTCGTGTTTCTTCTATTATTTTTCTCGTGTCTTTGTGGCTTACAAGTCATTATCATTATCTTGTCATTTGTGGGTGAGATTGAAGAGCAACCGATGTGAATATATTGATTGTGTGTTCAAATCGTTTGGATTGGTTGTTTGGTAGAAAAATATAACGTGAAATTGAGTTCGGAAAACACCGTTTTGACGACCATTGGAACAAGCTTCCGCGACAGTAATACTCTAGATTTTTTTTCCAAACTCATAAAATCGAAAAGGTATTCGTAGATTCATTAGCTAGCAAGGCAATGCGTCTTTGCACACTCTGGCTAACATCTAGAAAAGTAATATTTGGAATAACATAGATAAAAGCGTGCTTGTGAGATGAGGATAGTATAAAAGGCTTGCTGAAATTCGTTACCTACAAAACAGCTATGGTTTCGAAAGTACTAATGCAATACATTATCTGACACTTATAAGTGACTTATTTTCATGAACTTCTTCTGTAGCAAATCAACTTAATGTAAAAGCACCTCCTTGACAAGTTTTTCCAAATTCATGTAGGAAGAGCCACCAGGTTCAGTTGCCTCCTCTGCTTTCTTTTTCCACTTCATAGCTTTCTCCTTCATTTTCTTTCCCTTCTCGCCGTCCATTAGCTCTTTTACGAGCATCTCCACTTCGTCTCGCTTCACATTATTGTCTATTTCCAATCCCATACCCCATTCCACACAACTGTACCTACAATTCGTTTGTTGCTCAGCAAAGAAAGGCCAGCAAATCACAGGCACGCCCCCAACTATACTTTCTATAGTCGAATTCCACCCACTATGGGTCAAGAACCCTCCAATTGCAGGGTGTTTTAGAACTTGTTCTTGTGGGCACCAGCTGATCAACATGCTTCTATCTTTCGTTTCTGTCACGAATTCAGGTGGCAACGTTGCTGATTCGCCCGCAACGATATCGGGCCTAATTATCCACAAAAATGACTTCTTACTATTGGCAAGTCCCCATGCAAATTCAGCCAGCTGCTGTGCTGTTACTACAGTTATGCTCCCAAAGTTCACATACACGACTGAATTTGGTTCTCTTGTGTTCAGCCAGTCAATACATTCCGAATTTTCCTTCCACAGTTTCGAGCTCAAAGAATCGTACCTTTCGTCATGAATGTGATTCATCATCAGTTGTAGAGGCCCGACTGTGTAAATGCGAGGGTACATGGCTGAGAGCGCGTCCAAAACATCTTTTTCTAATGCATCAAATGTGTTGATAATAATTGCTTTGGCTTTGGGAACCGCCTCAACTTCACTCATCATGAAATTGAGCATGAAGTCATTTGAGTCAGTTGTTCTGATGAAGCTAGGGAAATCCCTCAGTCTAATATTCTTTGTTCCAGGAACCCAATCAAGGGTTGTATCCAAGTAACCATTTGTTACCTGGCTCATATCTGCAAATTCGAGTACACTTAGCAAAGAATAATCATATATTTTAAAGGCGCGGCATATTAAGAATTGAACTCATTTTCTAATCCCATTTCATTACTGTAAAGTACTATTATTAATGAATCATACAGTGTTGAGTCACATGTAGTTGGATCACATGATAAATGGAATTCCAAGATTATAGAGTGAAACCTGACCTCCCCTTCTTGACTGGGGCATTATCTAGATTGGAATAGATCAATTCTCTATTATAAAAATGGATAATAAGGGTTGAAAAGAAATTAAATTTTAAAGAAACTATCCTCATTATTCTAGAATATCATCATGGTTTACGATTTAATTTCCTTAACAAGTATTGGAATGATAAATAATGAAATTTCAAAAGTTTTGAGAGTGATGCATAGAACTCACAGACTTTAGCTACAAATTTAGATCTTTTGTTTTCGATTAGCTACAAGCCATGTGTTACACTGTGTCATAATATCATGACACTTGAAAAAATACTAAATTTAAATCTCGTGATTTTACGATTATTCCAATATTGATTTGGCATTTTTATGTATTGAATTAAAACTTGGGGTGTGACCTAAATTCTAATTGTGAGGTCTATTGGCAGTTAGTTATATATTTTGAAGAAATGAAAGACAACAAGAAGAAATCGCTAAAGACTGCTCATTTCACGCCAAGCAAGCCACCACTCGCTACATGGGAGGCCACCACTCAAGCGGTGGTGTTATCCGGCCAATTAGGGTTTCGCGATTTTGACAATTTTTTCCCTTCTATTCTAATTCAAACACTCCATTATTTGTTAGGCCTATTATATTAGGATTTCACCTTATGTTAAACTCTTCCTTGTATTATATATATGTGGAGTACTACACATACTGAGATCATCCATATTTATGATCCTACACAATTTGTAATCCTCCATATTTGTTATTAGTGAATTCTCCTCTCCTACCCGTGGTTTAGAGTGTGTACCTACTAATTTTATTTCTAACAAGTGGTATCGGGGAGAGATCTGATTTTTTGTTATGGCAAGTATGAAGATCGATATTCCGCTTTTGGATAACAATAAAAAAATGTTTTCGTTAAAACAAGTAAAGATGTGAACAATGCTCGCTTAAATGGATTTGGATGATGCCTTGTTAGGGTTTGATAAGATGGTCTCAATTGGACGCTAGAGGAGAAACAACATAAGAAATGAAAGGTTCTATCTCAAATTCATCTTCATCCATCGAATCAAATTCTTCAAAATGTTTTAAAGGAGAAAACCGCATCTGCATTATGGTTAAAATTGATGCAATTATGCACGAGGAAAAGTCTAATTAGTAAATTATATTTGAAGCAACAATTGTATTCTCATCATATGATGAATGCACGTCTGTAGAAGATCATCTAACTGTCTTTAAGGAAGGTGTCGCTAATTTGAAGACCGTGGAGGTTAAGTACGATGAAAAAGATTTAGGGTTGATTTTATTGTATTCGCTTCATATATGACATTCAGAGATACCATTTTGTATAATCGTGACATTCTCACCATTGATGAATTACATGGTTCTCTGCTTTCTAAGAAGAAAATGAAGCAACTTGTTGAATACGAGGCTCAAGCAGAGGTCCTTAATGTTCGTAAGAGGAATTTTGGTGATTATGAGAGGGGTAGATTGAAGTCTACTTATAGAGATAAAATCTATAATTATTGCAAGAAAAGGGGGACACATCGAAAGGGATTGCTATAAGTTGTAGAATAAGGATACATTAGTTGCTCAAATAGAAGGGACAACAACCGGAAACTTTAGAAGAAGCTAGTATTGCAAAAGATGATTATAGTGATGGAAAACTTCTAGTTATTTTTTACAATAACTCCAAACCTGACGAGGATTGAATTTTTTATACAGGTTGTAAGAAACGTATATGCTCCAATCGAGATTCGTTTTCAACGTATGAAACTATTTCTAAAGATGTTGTGATAGTGGAAAATAATACTCTGTAAGATGGCTGCTATTGAAAGGGTCAGAATTAAAATGTTTGATGAAACTATCAGGACACTTGGTGATATGCGACATGTTTCAAATTTGAAGAGAAATCTTATATCTTTGAGTACTCTTGATCCAAAAGGGTACAAATACACTTGGTTGCTTATCCTTTAAATGTGGTTGAAGGTATTGAATCTAGTGAAAAACCTTCTACAAAAGCAGTTATTTATGTTAATTCTGATTTTGCTGGAGATCTTGAAAAAAGATCTCTTATAGGTTATGCTTTTACCCTGTTTGGTAATTGTTGTTGAGTTAGCCCTTAGGGACTCCTGTGGAAGAGATGGAGAGTTTCGTGGAGAACTTTATGGTGAAGAGTTAAGTTTTAATCCTTGCATTGGAATTCACCTCAAGGTGGAAAAAAAAGTTTTAATGAAGTTTTATTCGTTTCAGTGGAATTTGTGTCAAGGTAGAGATTTTTTAGAATTTGGATGTGATTCAAATTCTATTTAGGTGATCTATTGAGAGTTGGTTATATGTTTTGAAGAAGTAAAAGACGACTAGAAGAAATCGCTGAAGACCACTTGCTTCACGCCAAGTAAGTGCTCGAGCACTTTTAACAGTAAGCTCATCTCTCAATATCCACGCATCCAGCACTCGAACGGTCGTGGCAACGCTCTCTACATGCGAGGCTACCACTTGAGCGGTGACCAGTTAGGGTTTCGTGATTTTGACAATTTCTTCTCTCGTATTCTAACTTAAACACTCAATTATTTGTTAAGTACTACACATATTGAGATCATCCATCTTTGTGATCTTACACAATTTGTAATTTTCTATATTTAGAGTGTGTTTGGGAGAAATTTTTGTGGGATTTTAATCAAAATTATAGTCGTTAAAGTCAACCTGTGGGCTCAACTTGTGAGAAAGAAAGTCAAAAATGATGGCTGATTTGATAGTTAATAGCTAGATTTTTTATTAAAATTCTGATTAAAATTTCTCTCAAACAGGGCCTTAATATTGGTGAATTCTCCTCCTTTACTAGTGGTTTTTTTTCAAATTGGATTTTCACGTAAATCTTGTATTTTTTTTTTTCTTATTTTTCATTTTTTTAATCCTCACTTTATTATAAAAAATTGGTACGAGAGTGTGTACTTACCGGTTTTACTTGGAACAAACTTTATCTAAAAATGTCTAACCCCTCCCCTTGACCTTTTGCTGTGAATAGATTAGATCTGTAGATGTGTTAAATAAAAATAATTTCATTTGGAATATATATCAATATGGAATTTTTGTAGTTTGGACCATACCCTTGAGAGGTGTGTAGCCTTTATCCACAAGATGGCGATACTGCGTATAACCCAAAAAACCACACGCAGCCGTCGTCCAGAACAGCACTTCCGGAAATCCAAATTGTTCAGCCGCCTTGACAGTGAAGCTCATAACCCCATCAGCCACTATGCAGGTCACCGGAGGCACTTTCGGTGAGCAATTGTTGAGCTTTGTCAGCAGGCTGCAGAAAGGGGCCAAAGAAGTTCTTGATGTAGATTCACATACTGATGGTATGTCTTGGGTGGCGTCGGCATCTGAAGGCGGCAGGCCGTCGGGAATGGTCTCGAACCTGAAGTCCGGTAGGCCGTCAAGGGCGGCAGGGCCACTAGACTTGAGCAAGCGTTTGCGAGTAAACTCTGTGTGAACAAAGGTTATGTAGAATCCTTGGTGATGAAGAAGCTTGGCGAGTTTGAACATAGGGTTTACGTGACCTTGTGATGGATATGGTACGCATACAGCATGGGGCTTATCATTTCCTGCATTTGAACCCATCTCTCTCACACACAGACACTCTCTTTGTCTTCACACAGGCAGATGTGAGCTAAATCAAGACAGAGAGTAACATTAAATTATGACAATAACACTTGTGTTGGTCTTTGATATAAATAATTGAATCTACACCGCATATGATGAGAACTAAGAAATTCTTTTTTTTATCTGGCCGTAAATTAAATTTCTGGTCAATTTTTTTCAGAAAATGTTAGTATTTAAAAAATTCAATAATAAGCCGTTCTAGACACAATTGAAGACAAACAATTATGAAAGGATATTTGTTGATATTCATGAGCAAATGCAAATCATGTGAAAATAAAAAAATAAAGTGCATAACTCGAGATATGCACTCTCCCTCCCCCCATATTACCTTGTTAATCGTTGAAGAGGTAAAACACATATGTTTCCCTCATTTTGCTCGTGATATTTTTGTAGGGGAAGGCAATGCAAATCTCGAGCTACAAAAATAAGTATAAATTATGGGTCACTTACATTCAATTTGACAACTCCCTCACATGGAATGGGGCCGGCGATTTTTAAAATTGTGGGCCCCACCCCATATTTGAGGGGGCTCTCACCCATGATGGTTCATAAATTATAGTCTCGGCGTTTATTTAGGTAGTTGATGTCATCTAGGCACGTGTAGAGGTCATTTTCAATTGATGCATAAATAATTATATACCATACACATTTTTATCTTCGAAGGAGAGAGAGAAACATACAACTTGTCATTACATTAAATGATATTAATAGCTTTGTGCCCAACTTGTCTAAGTTTATGTGTCACGTGCCTGTTTGGAAATGCCATTGGAGATTGATCAATCTTTTCTATTATTTATATTATTAAAAGGTTAGATGTTAGTTAATATTTTATATATATAAGCTGAATTATACATTTAACTAACCTTTTTCTTTCAATAGATTGACTTATCCATGCTAGTCGGACAAATTTCATACTTCAGAATAGGCTAAACAGCCAATAAAAATTAAGTCATTTGCAAATGGGAATGGGTTACAGAACTTCTACACCCTCTCACATGAGGTGGGTCCCACGCGGGACTCGCCTCAATAAGAAAGTAAAATAAATAAATTACCCAACCCCCTTATGTGTGAGTTGTCGTTGGGGGGGTTTTGTGAACCCCAAATGAAGCGTGATTGGCCAAATAATGGGACACTAATAAACAATGTAGCAAAAGCCTACGTATCTTCCATGAAGATAAGAGTCGGTGAATCGCAGGTTGTATATTTTACACGTGTAAGATAGTACAATTTTTTTCCTTTGTCTAATGAAATGCCATACAAATTATTTATTGGCAAATGAAACCCCAATCACTGAAAGAGACTTCGCACCTAAATTCGGTCCCCCCAAAAGTTTATAAAAATGTGACAATTAGAATAGGCTCTTGTTTGGTCCCGCTATTTTGAAAATTCATTTTTCTCTCTTTTATTTTTAACCATACATTTTTCAATGAAATAATATTACACTCAAATTTAAATTATTTACTTATTTTTTAACCACACATTATCCATCAAAATATTATTTTAAAATGCATTTTGCAAACAAGCTCTAAGTCTTCAATGTATGTAATGACTAGGCGCGATTTTTCAAATGCAAAAAGTGCATATTGAAGAGTCATGATTATTCTAATTTTGTGTAACTATTTAAAGAGATGCATAATGCAAACTCATGAACCTTTATGTATGGTACAATCTAGATCATCAAATTATGTTTTCATTTGAAATGGTGCGATCTAATTGTTGAAATGATTATTGTGTCAAAAGATGCAACCATCGGAAAGATATATCTAGAAATCTATATATGTGATCCTCCTAATTTATTTTTCTAAACTTCTTACTTTTTTTGAACTCTATCAAAATAATTCTCAAATTATTTTCGAGTTAGATATTTTAATGTTATCATCCGATTTAGAAGAGTAAGTCAGTCTTTGATTCGTTCGACAAAATTAGTATTGTGCTATATTAATTTTAGAAAAAACGTTGTATTTTCGAAGACGGACATCCGTTTGATCATATTGGAACTAGTACGGTGATTAAATATGTCTTAAAGATATGTGCATTCTCATACCTTGTTTCAACTCATCTTCGTCTAGTTTCTACATTTTCCAGAATGTCAGCTAGTTGCAAGAATGGGAGTTGGACATGGTTTCAGGTTTTCAAGTTCAAATTTCTCGAGTAGTTCACCAATGTATCTTGTCCTATTTTTCGTGCAAGTATCTTGGGTTCAATAAGTTGAAATGTTACCCTGTAATTTGCATGTCAATCAGGGGCGGACCCACAGGGGTCATGTGAGGTCAAATGACCCCACAAATAATTTGAGTTTTTTTTTAAAATCAGAACTTGTGAGAGAAAGAGTGCATAAAGAGAAAGAGTTCATTAAGTGGGAATATTATATTATTTAATCAATTAAGTGGTGTGTGTAAAAATTGTATAAATTCAAATTTTGTTCAACACTTTGGTCTTATAAACTATGTCATTTGTCATAATATTATTTTATATTTTTACCATCATTAAATTTATGGTCGAACTTTATGTGAGGTTGAATATTTCATTTTGCTTATTGATTTATTGAGTTTTAAGTTCATAAATTAGCTAGTTAAGAAAAATATGAATACATATTGCATACTTGAATTTAATGGACGTTTCACTCTGACCTCGATTAAATTTCATCTACTCTGAACAATATTCATGGCTCCACCCCTAAATATTTGCATATGTTGTTGTAATTTGTTATTTTCTTGTAGTATTCATTGGATATCACACATTTGAGATTATTATTGATGACAATATTCTTCTTTCACTTGAAAAATCTAACCGACTTGTTGCTATGACTAACATGTTCGTTGTTGTTCATGTATTGAAAATTATTAGGTAAATCTTTTTTTCAAAAATTTCCTGCTCCGATTTATTCAACGAGTTATATTTTATCTTGTTTATTCATCTTTAGTTTTTGAAAAACTCATGTATATGTCATGTCA